TTGCATTTAGGGTTTAGGTTTGCTGCTTAGGTTTCTGGTCTGCCCCTCACTCTTGTGACAGTGCTCGGCACAGCATAGGGCGGAGGCCGTGTCAGAACTTACCCGGCAGGGACGCTCCTGTTTCTGCTGGAAAAGTGCCTGGAACAACCGGCAGGGACAAAGCCTGTTCATGTTGGAGGGGTGCCCTCATGTTGGAGTGCCAGCAGTGAGTAGACCCTAAACTGCTGCCTAAAACTTCTTCAGAAGGCTCATATGTGATTAGGACTCGCAAGCGGTTGCCAGCACCTTCGCCAGAAGGCCCAGTAGGGATTATCGGATTTGCTGCTTCAGCCCTACCAGAATGCCCAGAGGAGGTTAAGTCGTGCACCCGAAGCTTGTGGTCCCTCGGGACTTGGAAGCAGCAGGGAGGGAAATCGCGAACCTGAAGCCTATCGGGTATCAGGACCCGGCATGAAGTAAAAGCGCGAACCTGCAGCCTATGGGCCTACGCGACCTGGGAGCAGCACGCAGATAAATCGCAAACCTAAAGCCTATGGGCTCTCCGGACCCGGGAGCAGCAGGGAGAGAGATCTCGAGCCTGAAGCTTATTGGCCTACGGGACCTGCGAGCAAGGCGGAGAGATTTACGAGCCTATCGGCTCTCACAGGACCTGAGAGCAGCAGAGATGTGTATCGTCTTGCGCAAACTGCCCATTTCTGCGACAGGCTTGCAGTCGCAAAAATCGGCCGCTGCGCGGGGCAGTTGAGTGATCACAGGACGCCGCATCTATTGACAGGCATCTTGGACACCTTGCCTGCAGTCTCACTGCCCGGCCAGGAGGGCGCCCGCCCTCCTGCGCTGTGGCAAGCAGAAGCAGTGGGTAGACCTCTCAGACTGATGCCTCAAACATCCCCAGAAGGCTCAGAAATGATTAGGTCTCTCAAACTGCTGTCCCAACAGTTGCCTGAAGGCCCAGAAGTGATTAGGCTTCTCAAACTGCTGCCTCAACCTTCCCTGGAGGGCTCAGAGTGATTAGGCCTCTCAAACTGCTGCCTAAAACTTCTCCGGAAGGCCCAGCAGTGAGTAGGCCTCTCAAACTGCTGCCTAAAACTTCTCCAGAAGGCCCAGAAGTGATTAGGCCCCGCAAACGGCTGCCGGAACCTTCGCCAGAAGGCCCAGAAGGGATGTGAGGAACTGCTGCTTCGACCTATTCCAGCAGGTCCAGAAGTGACTAGGCCTAGCACTTTGCTGTGGGTCCTGCATCAGGTGTAGTCTTAAAAAAATCGGCCGCTGCGCGGGGCTCCGAGTTCTAAGGCCCCTTGACTCTCACACTTGACGCGCGGTTGGCTGCAGAGTGTTACGCAGCCTTGTGGGCCTTAAACTGCACCAGGCAAGCACGCCAAGCCGATAGGCTCCTGGTACCTGGGAAGCACACTTGCCAAGTGCCAGCCAGCAGCCTCTGGGGCTCTTGCGCCGTCTCAAAAATCGGCCGCTGCGCGGGGCTGTAAGAACATGGCCTCTTGCAAGCAGCGCTTCAGGCCTGCCCTATGGCCGTAGCTACGTGAGGACGCCCGGACTCACCCAGCGCAGACGGCAGCATAGTGTAGCCACACCAGCCCCTTGTCTGCCCCTGCTTGTCGGGGGGGAAGGGGACGCCTCTTCTGGCACTCTGTGTGCATTGTGCTTAGCGTGCTTGCAACTTCCTTGCCAACCTACAATGGAGTCCTGAGTGCTATTGCTACGGCCCTGGCGCTTGTGTGGGGACTGTCTCTACGGACGCGTTGAGCAGTTTAGGTGACGGAGGTTCCTTGCCTTACGGCCTACCCGCACTTTCGCTTAATGTCTGCGCCAGACGTGGCGCAGCATTGCTATGGGTGACGGGCTGCTGAGTGATTGGTGCCGGTAGGTTCTTGTTTGCATTGGTCTCACCATGCTGGCCTTGCGTTAAGTTGTCTTGCAATAAGGGCCTCTGCGCTAGCGGTTGCTTCTTTGTAGTCACGACTTCTTTTTCACTCGCTGGCTTGTACAGTTTGTTTCACCCTTCGTGTTGAGACTCACAAGGACGGCCTACTGGGCTGCTGATGCAGTAAAGAGGCGACAGTTCAAAAAAAAAGATCAAAGCAAAACCATGGACTTCCATAACAACCCTCTAAGCGTTTCTTCTGTGCCGCTGCAGATGCTGGCTCTTAATCTAAGCTCGTGCTGCAGGCTGCAGAAATGGACGCAACAAGATTCAGTGGGCGGCTTTTCTTCCACACCTGCTAGTGTTGCTCAGACGCAGCTGACTTCACTCTCGCGCAGCTTTTTCAAAGTTCCAGCAACCCAGTCCAAACGCTCTGCCAATTCCTGTGCTCTGCTTTTGCAGCTTACCCTTTTGTGTGGAAAAACAGGCAGACTGTCCTTAAGCGGTGCAAGATGCAGAGCTACGGACATACTTCTCAGTCCACCAAGCAACCACTACAGGACACTCTGTCTTAGAGCGACGCAACTTAGTGCATCCAGCATAAGCTTGCCTGCAACAACCAGCACTGCAGACTTCCCTTTCTTCTTTTCCACTACTCCACAATACGCTTTCTCTGGAAAAAATCGCTGTAAGAAAAAAGTGGGGTGGTGTTTTTTCCAGCCGTAGAGTGGAGACTGGAGACCATTTGTTTTTTATGCATAAAAGAAGCGTGCGGTAGAACACCACAATCTTAATGTTCATGCCTTCTGCTTAGAATCTTGTTGCCAGCATCTTCTTGTAACTTCTTTCCGCGCTCCAGAAGCAGCACAGCAGAACGTGCATGCTAGATCTAGCTCCTAGATACAGTGCATCAGTGGCGTTTATGGCCTGTAGTGCAGCGGCCACCAGCTGGCAGATAGCTTCTTGCCACTTCGGGCCGGAAGTAAACCAACCTGTTGTGTACAGAACAAGGTCTTTGTGCTGCAGGTCCTGATGTGGATCAGAAGCTTTGAATTTGCAAAGTTTAAAGTCTGTCCGGTGCTTGCCAATCCATTCGTAGTTTGCCTGCTTGGCCGGAAGAAGGAACTTCTCTGGGGATGAGGCCAACGTTCACTCTTTTGTTTTTGATGCTTGCGCAAGAAGTGGCCAAATCCTTTGCTGGCAGCCTTGTTGTCACCTTCGCTCATCATGGGAACATTTGGGATTTTGGCAGAATCGTTGACCAATTGAGCGGCTGCTATGGTGAGAGCCTCCAGGATCGAGGGGTGGCTTGCTCCCTTTGAGGTGTAGCAACGTGGCGCCAGGGCGTACCCTGAAAGCAATGGTCTCATCACTCCACAGCTCTGGTACAGGAAGGTGTCCTCGTTGAGCAGGAGGTGTTGGAAGGTGCTGTCAACCAGGCAGAGCACCGGTGGGCTTCCTCTCTCCTTGTCAAACGAGCAGTAGGAGGAGTCTGCGCCAGCGTGGAGCCCAAGAGGACGCCTGAAGAACAGATCTGAGATGGAAGCAGACTTGGCAAATCCCCTTTCTTGGAAAAGATGTCGGTGCGTGTTCTTCAGTCGTAGCAGAGTGTGAGGGTGCATGTCAGTGCAGTCTGTGCATCGTGAGCTGTAATTCTGCGCATGGGATATGTGTGATCAAATAGGGCCTAGACACAGAAGTCTTGAGGTCAAGTGTCAAGGTGTGTTCTTCATTTGAAACATTTTGTTTGGAACATAAAGATTTGTGTTTTTAAATATTTTTGGGGCTTAGGTTTTGAGGTTTGGGTTTAGATTTTACAGGTTTTAGGATTTTGGGGTTTCTGGGTTTCGGGTTCAGGGTTGTTAGGGGTTGTTCGCGCAGGGTTTTATATAGCGTTTAGGGTTTAGGGGTTCTTAGGGTTCAGGGTTTGTTAGGGGTTTTGAGGGTTATTTAGTGTTTTCTGGGTTTAGAGTTTAGGGGTTTTTAGGGTTTAGGGCTCCGAGGTTTTTAGGGTTTCGGGCAGGGTTTTTTAGGGTTTTTTGGGGTTTAGGTTTAGGGCGAACTTATCACAGTCTAGACCCGACCCGTAAAGGTTTAGATAAGTGCCTATGCTCCTATGCATAGACTTAGACCCTATCTCTGCCTATACTACCCCCTCCCGAGACTCCTATGCCTTATCGATCTTTCTTCTTACGCAAATGGTTTTGGGGGTTTAGAGCTTTGGGGGTTTTAGTTAGGATTTTTAGGGTTTAAGGTTTAGGGGTTAGGGCTTAGGGTTTTTTGGGTTGAGGGCTTTGGGGTTTAGGGTTTGTTTAGGGTTTAGGGATTAGGGGGTTTTTAGGGTTTAGGGCTCAGGGGTTTTTTAATGGTTTGGGGCTTGGGGGTTTTGAGGGATTAGGGTTTAGGGTTTTCAGGGTTTAGGGTTCAAGGGTTTTTAGGGTTTAGGGCTCAGGGGGTTTTTATGGTTTGTAGGGGTTTTGAGGGTTTAGGGTTCAGGGTTTTTTTGGGTGTTAGGGTTTGGGGGTTTTAGGGTTTAGGGCTCAGGGGTTTTTTAGTGGTTTGGGACTTAGGGGTTTTGAGGGTTTAGTGTTTAGGGTTTTCAAGGGTTTAGGGGTTTTTAGGGTTTAGGGCGCAGGGGTTTTATGGTTTGTAGGGGTTTTGAGGGTTAAGGGTTTAGGGTTTTTTGGGTGTTAGGGTGTAGGGGTTTTTAGGGTTTAGGGCTCAGGGGTTTTTTAGTGGTTTGGGACGTAGGGGTTTTGAGGGTTTGGGGTTTGGGTTTTTAGGCTTTAGGGTTTAGGGTTTAGGTTTAGGGGTCTTTGGGGTTTAGGGCTCAGGGGTTTTTTGTGTTCAGGGGTTAAGGGGCTTTTTGAGGGCTTAGGGCTTTGTTAGGGTTGAAGGGATATTGTTGTTGCAACGTGCCGACGTCTGACTTTCCAGTCGTCATATAGTCAGGGAGGAAGGCCGAGTGACTGCGCAGCTGTGCTTCGACACAAGGCATGGTGCCCGGAGCCCTTTGGGTTGAAAAGCCAGTTACCAGCGCTGGGGTGGTGTAGCTTGTGTAGTTGCAGGCATCATGGATCTTTCGGCCTAGCGTCCGGTCACCGCGCTCCGGCGAAACATGTTTCTGTCTGTTGCGCCACCCCCAGGTTTGCTGATAGCGGCGCCACACCGATGCGGCAAAGTCAGGCGGAGAGGCAAAAAGCCTTCACCGTCAAAATTGGAGCGGGATGCCCGCAGGCAGCGCCAATGGCGGGCGTTGCTTGGGGTGACTGCGGCCACTGTGGCTACAGGTCTTGCAAGCGCCGTTGACGTGCTGCTCCTCGGCAACTGCGGTCTTCTGTCGACTTTTTCTGTGGATTGGAGCCAGCCAGCCGCTGGGCGCATGCGGGACATTTTCCCGCTGCCGGAAATCCAAACTTGGCCGTCGACCGTGGAGTTCATCTCGGACATGCAGCCTGCAGCTTTGAAAGTGGCAAATCTGTGCATCGTGGGGCTCAATGCCATGTGGGCTGATTTCAAGTCGCATAAATTAACGGCAGCTTGGCGAAGGGCCCCAACGATATGTCAACTTGAAGCTCAGAAGCATGTGGCAGCGAAAACTGCTCGCATGTTGACCCGCTTGCAAGCAGTAGCAGGCGACAACTGGGTTTGGCGAGGCGCGTTTCAGCACTTTGAGTCGGCATGTTCCTCACAGTATGAGCCTTTGAGAGGAGATGCTGTTGACTTGCCGTTGCAGGCTGCCACGTGCGACCCTTTGCAGCATATTCCAAAGGACCTGGTTAGTGCCATCAGCGATTCTTCAGCGATTTTTCCAGAACCTTTGCCACCGGTTCAGCCACTCGTGCCGGCGAATGAGCATGACTACAAGCAGTACCTCATCCTCGTGGCCAGGGAGCTTGGATGTGGGAAGCTTAGGCTACGCCGGCATGTACGTGGGTTGGCCTCAGTTTTTGCTGCGGCTAAAGCCACGGAAGGCAGACAACGCAAGATCTGGAATGGTGCACAGCTCTCGGCGCTGGCAGCCAGACCGCCGCCGCCGCACAGGCTTGCAAACCCTTCATCGCTGCTGGATATACATGCTGAGACAGGGAAGCCGCTCTACTACTCCAAGCGTGACGCAGAAACTTTCTTCGACACGCTCAGGCTTCCGTCCGACCTGCAAGACTTCTTCGCACAGCCGCCGCTGTTGGTAAACGACCTGCTCAGAGAGACGGGCTTGGACCTTGCTGCGTTGAGTGGGCTCACGGACGACGCAGCAGGTGTTCAGTTAACTGACAGCGAGTTCGTTTTCCCGGTGCATGTGGTCTGGCCAATGGGTTTCAGTTGGTCCTCAGCAATCGCGCAAGGAACTACTTTAGCGTGCGTTGCAGCTGCAGGCGTTCGAGAGGAAAGTGTATTGTCCGTCAATCACAGGCCTCCGAGCGACCAGTCCGAGTTGTGCTTGGTGGCTACAGACGACACCGTTTTCGTTCATCAGACTCTTGATCGAGGGACATCCACTTTGCAGCGTTTCGATGGTGCACTCGCTGCTGCAGGCATTCCGCGAAAGAAGAGCAAGGATATAACCTTGGTTGAGCAGATCACTGTATTGGGGTGTGATGTCAGCAGCCGCCCTCATATGGCAGAACCTTCACAAACCAAACTTCTGAGGTGCCTCGCTTGTTGCTTAGATCTGCTACGGACGAAGTCGGCCTCTCCAGGGGCAGTCAATGGTTTGTTGGGTTTGCTGCAGTGGTTCAGCCTCCTGCAGAGGCCGATGTTCGGAGTCTTTGACCAGATATACGAGTTCGTTCGGCGAGAGCCCAACGTCAGACAGCCTGTCCCGTGCAACGTGCTGCGTGAGATAGCGGTGGCCACGAGCTTGTTACCTCTCCTGTCCGTCAGTTTGGACAGGGGCTTTCACGAACAACTTCTGGCGTGCGATGCTGCTCCTGAGTTTGGCTTTGGCGTGTCGGCGGTCAGCAGCAGCAAGCAAGAGCTTCAAGAGCTAAGCCGCTTGGCGGAGCGCCGGGGAGACTACGTGCGGCTGCATGGCTGTGAACAGTCCTCGGGACCTTGTCGCTTAGGTTTTCCCCATCGCTTGCGCTACCAGAAGTCTGATTTTCGAACCGTCATATCCAGCAGAGCACGCTGGGCAGCGCACTCCGGAATCTTAGAGGGGCACGCTCTCCTGCTGACCATCAAGCGGTTGTGCCGCAGCCGTGCGAAGCACCATAAGAAAGTGGTCGTGCTCGTGGACGCGAAAGCTGTCTTGGGTGCCGCGGCGAAGGGGCGAACCTCGGCGCCAGGGTTCCGTGGTGTCATCAGGTCAATCGGTGCACATGTGCTGTCTTGCGACCTCCTTCTAAGGCTGATTTACATTCCGTCAGAAAGCAATCCGGCAGATGAGCCATCGAGGGGGTGCAAGTTTTCCCAGCCTAACAACTCGCGCCGCTAAGCGGTCTTCTCTTTTATATTTGTGTTTCTACCTTCAGTTTTTGTCGCCCTTCACAGCCAACAGCACTGACGCCCAACTTTTGGTTACCGGATGCCTTGCGACTGGCAGGCCCTCAATGGCGAGGTTTGTCAGCTTCGGCAGCTGTAGGACAGGCTGATGCATTGTTTCCAGAAGATGTGGGTTTCCATGGTCTGGTCCAACCATGGAGAAACATTTTTGTTGTGTGCGGCTTACCTCACGGTGAAACCAGTCGCTGGTGTGTGGGAACTTTGGCAATTTGCGGTGGCATCTCTGGCAACTCTGTGCCAGAAGCAGCAAATCACCAGGCTTCTCTAACCGCCAGTGCCTTGAGCTGTGAAAACGTCCGCATTGCGAGCTGAGGCAAGGGAGCGAGAGTGCTGCCAACCAACAATGAAGGGATATTGTTGTTGCAACGTGCCGACGTCTGACTTTCCAGTCGTCATATAGTCAGGGAGGAAGGCCGAGTGACTGCGCAGCTGTGCTTCGACACAAGGCATGGTGCCCGGAGCCCTTTGGGTTGAAAAGCCAGTTACCAGCGCTGGGCCCACCCACCCTCCCGGAACTTTGGCAATTTGCGGTGGCATCTCTGGCAACTCTGTGCCAGAAGCAGCAAATCACCAGGCTTCTCTAACCGCCAGTGCCTTGAGCTGTGAAAACGTCCGCATTGCGAGCTGAGGCAAGGGAGCGAGAGTGCTGCCAACCAACAATTAGGGTTTTGGGTTTGTAAGGGTTTTGGGGTTTTTACGGCTCAGGGTTTTTTAGGGTTTAGGCCTTAGGGTGAGGGGGCGTGGCGCAGAATAGGCTTCTGCTGATTTGCAGCTTTCCGTGTTTTCTAATTCTGTTTTTCCGGCGCGCCTTAATGACCAAATTTGCTTTTTTCTCTTTTAGGCGGCGCAGAATGGGCTATCAGGAGCGTCCGTTGCGAGCTTCCGCGGTGTTGATTTGGAGCTTCCCATGTTTTCTGATGTAGTCTTTCCGGCGCGACCTAATCTCTTTTAGACAAGGAGTGTCTGCTGCGGGGCAGATAAGGGAGGTCCGTTTCGAGCTTCTGCGAAGCTGTGTACGTGAGGAAAGCGCAAGGGGTGACACAAAAATCACATGTTATGCAGCTATGCATGTTATCTTCACGCTGCAGCCTTCATTATAATGTCATCCTTTTAATAACCGGGATAGAAGCATGAAAGTATTAATAAGGGCCTTGATGTATTATCAATCTTTCGAGCGCCTATTGCGTGCATCTTTCACTTTTTCTAAAGCCAATATCAAAATCATTACGGTGCGCGTGAACTTGCCCGAAATTTAGTACTGATTTCTCAATGAACGACTTTGGGGGAAAAACGCCCATTGTGTGTAGCGTGCTTGCGTTGCTGGAACACTGCTGTCATAGGGCTAGGTTCTGTGTCGCTTGCGGCTCGTGCGTTTCCCATGTTTGAGAGAGTGCTTTGGCGTGTGCGTCGACTCCGCAGCTTGTGTTGTGCGTGTCTATGTGTCCGTGGCCATTTTGTCAGTGAAACAGACAGCTGGGACTGTGCTGTGTATCTTCGATTCCCGGGACAGGGAACCTGAGATTTCGTCCTTGATCACGGGCTTTTGATCCTAGCTGCTACGTGCCTTTCAGCCATGGACTTCGACATGGGACATGTCTCTGTGTCAGAACATCAATGGCTATGAGTTGCTGCAGGAACTCGTGGGCATTCTCCAACCAAAAGCCCGCAGAGGAAACCAACGCTGTTGGAGTCTACCAATCCTTGAAGCATGACGGGCGCATCCCGGACCACCGAGTCGACCTCGTTCGGCTTGCCGAAGGCAAGACCTTGGTCAAACCAAGGCCCAAGGACGCGACACCTCGCTACACTGCTCCGGACTTTTTTGCCGACCATGGCCGTTGAATGGGGTGCCGATCGTGGGAGCCAGGGGTTCCCTGACTTGGGTGGGGCGGCCTTGAGCATAGACGTGGGGTGGACTTGCAGATTGCGCCGGAAAACCAAGCTTCCTTCAAGCAACAGCAGTCGGAACCGTTTCCCTTGTTGCCTGCCCACTTGTGGGGGAGCAGGCATGCCCGACCAGGCCCCAGGTAGGTGATATTCAAGACACCGCCTTCACCGTATAGTCCACGCTGGAGATGTCCGTGAGCATGATGACCTGACCAGCCCACGAACATCAAGCCTCCTGCGCCATCGTGGAAATCCCACCCCTGCATAGTACTGGATCAGGGTCATGGCCAAACCGTGCAGCGAGCGGTCATTGCTCATTGGGCTGCTCCAATCCCTTCCAGTTGATCTTCGTCGGCTGGGCATCTTGATTGAGCTTTTTCTGCTCCTCCTTGGAAAACTAGAGGAGAAGAGGGGAGGCTGGCGTCCTTGACCTCCACTGCAGTGCAGGGTTGTGGAGTGCGGCCACCCTCACAGCCACAGGAAGGCTTTGCTCGAATTTCTTCGGGCCAATGCCGTGACGGAACTTCAAGTCCCCCTGAAAAGAGTTTGAAGCGTCTGCCACGCACCCTCCAGGGTTTTCCGTGCCGAACCATTTGTAGAAGGTGCCGAGAACTTAGCGAGCACCTCCAGCACCTGCGCCCCTTCGTTCATCATTCCGGCAGCGCGGGCATGACGCGGCGTCCGTGTTGGAACCTACCCCCGCACTCCGGAGTGAAGCAAACATAGGGCTGGGGGCTGGTGGGCATCACCTATTTGCTCGTCCCCACGAATGCGGAACCCCTGGCTCCTCCATGCAGCTTCTTTGTCTGGAGTCTCTGCGCCTGGGTCGCCCTCGACGAGAATTTGCGAAACTCCATCGCATCTGGTTCCGCAATGTTCCACAAGGCGATAGAACGCTTTCTTGGAGTCCAAACACTGGAGGACACATAGATTCGGATCCTTCAGGTCCTCCGAAGTGAGGGTGGGGAACGAAACCAGGACAGCTTCAAGCAGGCCCAATCATCGGGCCCTTCTTTCGGGACCAGACTGTGTGTTGGGGCCCTGGCGGGAACACAGGAAGCAGACAAAGTCAGGACGATCTTTGATGCGACCATCGGAGTCAACGTCAGGAAGAACACGTCCAAAGAAAACCACAGCACCCACTCTCCGTGATCTACTTCGACGACGTTCGATGCTGGGTGATGACGAGTGCACCCTCTTCAAATCGGACATCAGCAAGACCGTCGCCGAAACAAGGTGCTCCAAAGGAAGTATATGGTGGCCTCCGTCAAGGAATACTATAATACTTCTGGGTCAACATGGTGGGCACATATGGCAATGGGGTGGCCTCTTCTGGGCCGATTGGCAGCACTGTTGACTAGAATGACCTACCAGCTCTCGGCAGAGGTTCTTCTGGATCTGCTGCCCTGAACCTCCTCGGCATGGAGAACCGCTTTGCTACCAGGTTGATGTCCAACGTGGAACAGCGTGGCTCTTTAAGGAGAAAAGGGATGTCGTCATCCCTGCTTTAGAGGTGCTTGCACAGGGTAGTCCCCACAACCGTGGCTCCATTACTTCCCTTCTGGGCCGCCTGCAATGGGTGGCCAAAGCATGGATGCATGGATCCAGTGATGCAGGAGAATCTGACGATCGTGCAGCCATTGGTGGTTGGTTCTCTGATGTGGCCAATCCGAACAAAATGCAAGTCTGGTGGTTTGCCCTGGACGTAAGCCGAAAGAGGCGCATTGCGGCTTTGGAACTTCTGGGTGGGGTCCATCTTGCTTTTCCTCCTGGCAAGGAGCTCTTCTATGAGTATCGTTGTGCCTTTGCGGACGGACAATGAAGGAAATGCCTTCTGCTTCCAGGCGTTCGGCCAAGAAGTGGCCTTGTTCGGCGCTCCTCATGGAACTGGCAGCCCAGGAGGCCAACCTGGCATGCTATGCCAAAGTTGAGCATGTCAAATGGAGTCAAACGCTGCCCCAACACGTGGGCAGATTAGCTCACCCACCTGGACTGAAGGCTTCGACCGTGCCAAGAGATTCGAAGTCGCTTCCTTTTTTGAGCCGGGCTGGCTGCTACTGCCTGAGCTGCTTAGAGTTGAGTGTTCTTTTCAGACCCACGTCAAGCAGGGTGCTGATCGCCCTACTTGATGAGGATCTTGTAGGCGCATGTTTCTCACCCAAATTTCAGACCTCTCTCGGGGCAACACGGGTTTTCCTGGGTTTTCGCGAGTATTTTTTCACGGGCCAGCTCTGGGATGTTTACACATCCCCGCTCTAACCCAAATGTGTAGGTGGCGGTGCACCGGTCAAGCCCCCTCCTAGGAGGCCTCACCGGTTGCTCCATTTGCTGCCCGTTTTGCGACTCAGCCCAGCACAGTTCCCGCTTGGTGCCTGAAATTTTCCGATTCAGCGCAGTGTGTCGTCCGATTCGCCGCTCCGCGTTTTCCGATTCATTTTTTCTGATTCGCGCCTCAGCCTCTGCCGTGCTCTTTGTGCAACATCTTGCAAGTGGGTTGGGGCGGTGAATTCTGCTTCCCTGCATGCCGTCGCCGCGCGGCGGTTTTGAAAAGGAGTAGTAGCAATTTGCACCCCCAGGTTCTGTGCATACTCAGATCAGAAGCGAAGCAGCTATGTGTCTCCCCCTCTTGGAAAATAAGAGCTCGTGCAGTCCTGGAATTCTGGAATGAATTCAAGGTTTTGTTGGTGGATATATTCGCCAGAGACATTTTAGGTTATCTCATTTGAATAAATTATGACGTGAAAATAATGCAACAGGTCCTAGTGGCTGAGACGGGCGAACCGCTGCATGCTGTCTTATTGTATAGGCTATGTGGGGCCTGTTTACGCTTTCAGAGCCGAGACTTGTGCGAAGCACTTGGTCGCATGTCGTCGCAAGAACAGCAACAGCATGCTCGATGGCTTCGAGGACTGCGGTGTCGCCGCCGAGCCGGACACGGAGGTGCGCCGCCGCATGGATGCTGGCGCGTCTCTGGCGTGCAACGTTCCTCTTTAGGGTTTAGGGTTTGCCGTCCAGCGTCTCCTTTCAGAATGTCTTTTGAGGGTT